AAATTCCCAACCTTTCTTAGCTTTATTGTTTCTCAGTAACTCCGGCTTCACAGACATATCATCCGGAGCACTGTCCATGGTAGTATTGCCGTCATCTTGCGAATCATCTTCGTTTCTGGATGTGAACAGTAAGACACAGCGCATACAGATGTATATAGATAAAGGCATACGATTTTGTCATGAGATCATCAGCAGGAACCCACTCGGAATTACCATACCCTTCATAGAGCACTAAGTACTGCGTGAAAGAGCCTTTTTGTTCACGTACTTCCAAAACTTTAGCAGGGTAATAAAGATCGTCATCGCTATATCGAGCTAAGCAGGAGTCACCTACAGACCAGCTCTTAAATACGACATCTTTGGTAAAAGACTAAATGATAGGTAAAATGTGGACGTAATTGGTGAGGAATTTAATGTAGAAAATGAAACCTAGTAGACTAACCTTTGATGCGGCCGCGTCTCCAAGTTTGTTCTAAAGAAAAAGCATACGCTACGCAGAATGGAAAGCCTTATGTTGTTGACTGAAATACTCACGTATGTTGCATTGACAGAATCGTCGTACATCTTGATTAGCTCGGTGTCATCCCACACATCCTTATTTTCCACACTCTCATCCTAAAATCTCCTAATCTTATCACAAAAGATTCGTTCGTTTCAAGCGATTAGAATGATGCCAAGAACATACATGTGCAAAATCAATGCTAGAAGTTACAACTGAATAATTTCTATAAAGCATATCGTCTCAAAAACTGTGGAGGACTCGTTACATGACAGTTAAAGAAATCATATGAATCTGCTCGTTCTCCCTCTAAACCCATGCTCGTGCGCGGCCGCACCGAAAGTCTGTGAAATTTATGTAAGCAATGAGGACCTTGTAATTGGCTATATTTTTGCTATACAGTCCACTCTTATTCCCCATACTACCTGTATTCACATATAAATATCTAAAACTCAAATTCCTCATTAATCAGAAAAGTGGAGTTAAATTCACAATAAGAGCTTTAAAATTTTTAAGTAACTTTTTGTTCTTCAAACTGATAATAGAAAGATGTGGAAGTTCCATCTGATAATCTTCTGAAACGTAATTTTCTTGCACTCACCTAGATCCTTCTTCTTCTCTCCCATAATTTCATAAAAGAAATCATCTTTACCCTCTTTTATTCAAATTTCCCGTAATACCTCTTACTATATACATGGCGTACTCATGAAAAATGAGACCACTATGGTATAGCAGTATTTGCTGAACTGTTGCTGGACGGTAA